ATAAATGGTAAGCTCTCAGTAAACACGGCTGAACCAATAGGGTACTCTTTTTAAGAGGCGGGGGAGAGACCTCAGATCAGCACTGGAATAGCGGCGGGAAGCAAAGGCGGGTGAAGCCTCCTTCCGCGGGAAGGCGTGTTTGCTATTAGCGCTGGGGCCAGAAGGGGGCGCTGGTCTACAGGAAATCACGCGCGGGATGGGAGGTGCGTGGGCAGAGCCTGGGACAGCGGCAGGGAGTTGTGATGAGTCAGTTTCCTGCAAAGAGCTCCCAGCCCGCCAAAACTTCGGTTCCACTCCGGCTGCACGTCACCCCCGGGTGAGGAGGGGGAGCGGGAGGGGGAGCGGGAGGGGGAGCGGGAGCCGCGAACACGTCACGCTGAACCAGCTAGGCTTCCAAAACCCCCGCCACTGTTGGGAAACCGCGCGCTCTCGCGCCGTCTCTTGTGACACACACGCGCGCGCGCGCGCACACACACACCGCAAGCACAGGCGCGCCGAGATCTGGTCCCTCCACCTTATCTCCACGCCCAAAGCAGGGGATGAGTCAGATCCCTGGAAAATAAAAATAGACGGGAGCAACAAAAACAAAACCGCTCTTAAGTCCTCCCCGAAACGCAACGTGGAGGAAGGGAAGGAAGGAGGGAGCTGCCTGGGCGCCCTAAAGTACCAAACCAGTTCCAAGATTCTCGTCCCCACGGGGAGGGCGCGTGTCCCCCAGGGGCCCCTGACAAGGCAGACAAGGCGGACGCACCGTGGTCCGCGCTGGGCGGCGGCGCCCGAAGGGCGACTCACCCTCCTGCTCAGCCGTGTCGCCCTCGGAGAGGGAATTCTGGACTAGGTTGGGGGCGCCCGGAGCCCCCGAATGCAGGCGACGGAGGTCCGGAGCGGCGTCGCACCCCGCAGCCCCATCCCTCAAAGACACGACCCCTCACCCGCTTCCTCCCTTGGCGGGGACTGTGTGCCCCGCCGCCCCGCAGAGCAGGGCTCGGCCCCCGCCCCTGAATCCGTCCGTCCGACCCAAGGGCAGGCTGGGCCGGGGTTCTCCCAGCAGCGGTGGGAGAGAGGTAGGTCCGGTTTCTGCGCTTCCTTAACTGACTGGCTGGCCCAAGCCCACTCAGCGCCGGGCCGCGGCTCCGGGTCCTCGAGGGCGCGCCGCGGGGCGGGGACCGGACACCCGGTCCTGGACCTCCTGGTGTCCCGGCTTCCCTGGGAACACTCTGTGCCAGCCAAATAGGTCACTGTGCTGATGGGGGGACAGAGACCGTGGAGAGGCAGGGAAGGGGACTTCTGGGGGAGCCGCCGTCTCCCAGCCCTGGCGGGGATCTGACCTCACCCGGCCCCGTTCCCTGGGGTCTTCTTGTCACCGTGAGTCACCTCCTCGCTAGCCCTTAAGGGACGTGTCCCGACACGTTCCCAAGGGCCGGAGACACAGCCCGCGCTGACCTCAGCGCCCAGCCTATTGGCGGACACTGCAGCGTTGGGGACCCAGACCTCGGTTCTGGGCCGGGATGGCACCGATTGGATCCGAGAGCCGCCCGGGAGCGGATCCCAGATGAACCTGCTCGGCTCGGCTTTCCCCACCCCTCCCGGACCCCTCCGCGGACAGGGCTTCATCCCCACGCCGCAAGCGCAGCAATCCTGAGGCCGCGAGCTCACCCTCCGTCCGGTCCACGCCGTCCCTCGCCCCAGCTGAGCTTCAAGCGGAGGGAGCGTGGCGGGGATCTCTGAAATTAGTGCTACCTCTCCCCGCCGGGAATCTCCGACACATCCCGGCCCGGGTCCCACGCGCACGTATAGACTCGGGTGTGCGCAAAACCGAGCCCCAAGCACGGACCCACGCACGCCATTCACCTGTGAACACAGTACACACACGCCGCTGCGGACATACACCCACGGACACACACGCGGACACGCTCGGCTCACCTCAGAGCCGCAGCCCGGGATTCACTCTTGCCTGCCTTGGCTCTCTCACCTCCTCTGAGGGTCTCGGTGTCTCAGTGAATCCGCGCCCAGCTCCTCGTCGCCCAGCTACCGACTCGGGCAGCTGCTCACACCTAAGCTGGCGCCGCCTGCGCTCCCCTTATAAAAGCGTTGGAGGCGGGACCGGCCGCTCCGCCCACAGCGCGCCGGGGATCTGGGAGGACAACTGCGGCTCCCCTGCGCTCACAACAGCGCTCTGGAAACCTCTGCGGCCAACCTCGCGTGCTGCAGGAGGGCGCTTCCCTCCTCCCCACTAACCCGCGCCTGGGTTTGTACGCTTGACACATTTCCCCACGAACTGAGCTCCAAATCTGTTTTTTTCAGTTGGGGAGTGAGTTGCCGCTCCTCCGGAGGGGACGACATTGTTAGGACAGGACCGAGGAGGCCCCTCTCTGGCCCACCACCAACTGACTCTGGGCAAGGGTTTACCCAAAGCAGTTGAATAGACCATGAGGAGTGTCATTAATAAATAAAAATCCTTAAATAATTTTTTAAAAAAAACACCTCACTTTGCAATTCCCAGCAAAGCCCCACTACACCACCTCTATTCCCATGGATCCCTCACTACACCACCTCTGCCCATTACCTGAGGCACCCAGAGACCCCAATGAAGCATTCTTGGAGGCCAGAAAGGATTCAATTCCCTTTATTTCACAGATAAGGAAACCAAGGCCCACAGAACTAAAGGGATGAGAAGTTATTTGTCAAATGCTCCAGGGAAGAGAGGACTGGGCACACTGCTAAGAAAGGGCCAACCTGGTCTCCAGGGGAAATGGGACACTGAACTAACTTTCCCACCCCCTCGTCCTCACTCCCTACACCCACCTCCCTCTCACCTCAGCAGAAGAAAGCTCTGTGATTGCAGCAGATTTGATGGCTAGGAAGGGGAGAAAGATTTGGTGGGTGAGTTAGCTCCTGTGTAGTCCCCACACAGCCCACATACGCTGCTGGGAAACCGAGGCTCAGAGTTCAGTGGCCTGACTCATAACACAGCAAATCAATGGCGATGGCTGGAACGTAGGCCTTTTGTCTCTCATCCAGAGCTCTCTGCTTGTTGCCCTCTCTGTTTCAGTGGCTCTAGAAGGAGGGAAATGCCCTGCACCCCTCATTTCGAGGCAGTATACTGAGGCAGTATACTGATGAAAGACAATTCTGGAAACGTCCACTGGTGCTTCTGACAGATACAAAAGCAAGTGAGGTGCCCCACTGTTCCACACCCCTAGCCCCACTTGCACCCCACCTTTGCTTCATTCCTTCACCTAAAACATTTGCAGTTTCTCCTTTTAAAAAACTGCAGAGAACAGAGTGTTAATCTGAACAGAAATCTACTAAGAAATAGAATCCAGGCTTGGAACAGCTACAATTACTGACATCTAGGGCTGTTCAGTGTCTGGAAATCTCTGCCCAGACATGCCCAGTCTATTTCCTCTAATGCAGCTGACCTCAGGGAAGACAGGCCTCCTTCTCCTCTACTGCTGGGACAAGAGCCTGGGTAGGGGTGGGAGGGCACATTACCAGACCCCCTTGCCTACCTAATTTTGGAATCAGGCCAGGACTTCAGAAGGACCTCAAGAAGGCCAAGACCCCAGGACCAGCCCCCTTCTCCCCCAGTACCACCCTCCCCACGTCCAACACACCCGTACCCACACCACCCAAAGGCTGGGTTGTCAAATGTCCAGCAGAAGACGGGCATATCCTCCAACTGCCTTGAATCCCCTTGGCTTTCAGACATTTCAAATAGACTTGACATTGTCTGTCTGTTTACTTTGGGAAAAAAATTTAATGAAGGCTTGTATTGAATTATTTAAAGTTTTGTGGTCCTGAGCTTCACAATGAAATAATTCTTTTTGTTGTTTTTGTTGGGAAGTGAATTTTTTTTATAACTTCTAGCTCACCACCACCACCACAACAGAATTCAACAAATATTTATTAAGCACCTACTGAGTGTCTAGTACTGTTCAGCACTTAAAAAAAAAAGTTTCCAACCATACACTTGAATGTGTATCCAGGTATGCTCTTAAAGGAGGACTTCTGCCCTGAAGAAGCAAAGAAACAGGTTGTTAGAAGCCACATGCAAGATCTAACTCCCAAAACACACACACACACACACACACACACACACACACACACACACACACTAGATCCCAGGCCAGTCCCAAGGGATCTGCTGCAAATCACATATTCTGTTCAGAGGAACTCAGACCACGGTCTCCCTAGGGTCTCTGGGGGTCTCCTGTCTCCTACCACCCCCCTCTTCTCTGAAAGCAGGAGGCCCCAAGGACGAAACAGCCACCAGCTTCTTCTATGCCAGGGCTCAACATGTTAGGACATGTTCCTGAAGGCCTGAATGCTAGTCAGGACCACAGCCTGCTGCCCGGGCCTGCTCCCAAGGAAGCAGGCAGCTTAGGGATGTAGGGAGACTCAGACTGAGAGACCGGAGGATCCAGGTCAGCCCCCATCCAGGAGGGACATGATGAAGAAAAAGAAAGATAGAAGCCCTAGCCTGAAGGAGGATGTGAGGAAGGCTCAATGGTAGCCACAGGAGCTGCCCAGGAAGCAGGGGGAAGTGCTGGGAACAATGTCACTGTCTTCTCAGAAAAGGCCTGGGGAGTCCCTAACAGGGGCTGTCAGCTTTCAGTGGAATTCACTTCCACACAGGCTCCCAAGAAGTGAGACCCCCAGAGAAGTGGCAGAACAGAGACATTATTATATTATTGAGCAGAAGTCCCGCTTGCTTTTTTTTAGAGGAAGAATGAGATTGGGAGCTCCCCCAACTCCACCCCCCGACCTTCTGGGGGTTTTACCCAGCCAGTACAAAGATCAGAATTGACCATACAGTGAGGTAGGGAATTTGTGACAGAATTTGTGCCAAATACTTCCAGCTTCCCTGAGCTAGCAATTTCACCTTGTCTAAGCCTGAAATTTCACCATTAGAAGTTCATTTCTATAGTACTAAGTTCTGTTCTTCATTAAATAAGATCATATAGGCAAAATGCTTAGCATAGTGCCTGGCACATAGAAATCAGCGCGGCAAATGAGTGCCTGGATCCTGCAGAGGGTTCTGGGTGGCACAGCACAGTGTGAATGCGTTGATCATATCATTTAGGGACTAGAAGGTGGTGAGGGAAAGTTGTGAACACAGGCCACCTGAGGAGTGAAGGGCTCTCTGTGCCTTTGCACATATTGTTCCCTCTTCTTGGAATGAATGTTCCTGACCAATATGCCCCACCTCCACTCCTTTCTCCACCCATTGAACTCCTACTAATCCTTCATGACCCGACCTATATGACCCCTTGGAGCAAGGCTTTCTCAGGGCTTCCTCTGGCTCCCAGAGCCCCTGGTATGCAATACACTCCACTGTGCTTTACTGGCTTGCCTGGTTCATGTGCCTACTGCATCCTCTGAGATGGGAACCTAGAGAGGATGAGCCCATATTTTATTCATCTTTGTACCTTCAAGGCCTAGCAGCCTCAGCCTAATCTCAGTGAATATTTATGGAAGAGCCATTTTTGGCCTGCACTCTGAGGTTAGGCTTCAGTGCCACTGCTTCTCAGCCCTCTCTTTTATTTATTCATTCATCTGTTTACTCATTTATTCATTAAAAAATAATATAATTAACACTCACTGCTCAACCCAAGAATTAGAACATTACAAATCATTGATACTTTCCTGTGATTTCCTCTCCTATGCTGACCTTTCCTCCCCTACCCCAAAATAAACACTATCTTGCGGTGTACACTATTTTATGTTGAACTTTCTTTTGTTTTCAATAGTTTTATCACATGTGACCAAGACAGTAATGCTCTTCCATTTTTCTACGTGCTCTCCTACATTTCCCAGCCCCTCCTTGTAGTTTAGACTGGGTAATGTGACTGGTTCTAGCCAATGAAATGTGAACATAAGTGACATTTTCCTCCTTAGAGCTGAGGTCAAGTGAAATTCTCCAGCCTTTCTGTCCTCCCTGGCTGTGGCAAAAGTGAGGTCTCATGTCCCAGATGGTGCCACCTCACTATGGCAGATCCTCCCTCAGCCTAAGTTCCTGAGTGGCTGTGTGGAGCCAAGCACCCCACCAACTTGTATGTGAGAAAGAAATAGTCTTTTGTTATATGAAGTCAGTGAAATGTGAAGCTTCTTTGTTCCTGCAGCATAACCTGCCTAAGATTTATCCATATGGCTATCGGTGACTGTGGTTTGTGCAAGTCTGTGGCACCCAATGAAGTATGGCTCTGGGCATTTGCACTCTTTTGACGTTGCCTCCCCTTGAATCTGTCTGGCTTACGACTCTTTTAGCCAATAGAATGGGTAATTCTGTGCGTGTTCTAGGTCTAACCCTTAATAAGGTCTAGCAACTTCTGCTTTTGCATTCTTGAGGAACTTGAGACACCACGTGAGAAGTTTGTTTACTCTGAGACCACCATGCTGAGAGAAGTCATGTGGAGGCCACATACAAGATAGCCAAGGCTACTCCCCCACGCACAATAGCTCCAGGTGATCTCCTAGCTGACCGCCAGCATCAACATGCCAACCACATGAAAGCACCATTTTAAAAGTTGATATTTCACCCTCAGTTAATCCTCCCCAGTTGAAGCCACATGGAGTAGAGACAAGCCATCCCCAATGAGCCCCTTCCTAAATTGTAGAATTGTGAGCAAATAAATGATCGTGGTTGCCATTATGTTTTTTTTAAGTCTTTATTGAATTTTGTTACAATATTGCTTCTGTTTTACGTTTTTTGGTTTTTTGGCCACAAGACATGTGGGATCCCAGCTCCCCAACCAGGGATCGAACCCGCACCCCCTACACTGGAAGGCGAAATCTTAACCACTGGACCGCCAGGGAAGTCCCGCCACTATGTTTTAACATGGCCTGTTACGCAGCAATACATAATTAAAACAGGGCTCAATCATTTTCACTGTTATTTAACATCCAGTGATTCCCTTCTCTTGTAAATGGGCACTTTGGTTATTTCCAGTTTTCTGTTATTATGTATAGGGCTGCTATAATTATTTGTTTTAAGATTTTTTTGATGTGGACCATTTTTTTTTTTAACATCTTTATTGGA